TACTGGATGACTGAAAATGTCAATGAAAGAATGCCTCTGAAATTCATGAGGGGCCTCTGAAATTCATGAGGGGCCTTCAACTGGTAGGTTAAACTATTAAGTTGTTCTCCATTTGAAGACTTCCTTTTCATGCATATGGTTTTAAAGCATCTGTGCAAAGAGTTAAAATTTCTTTTGTTTCAGAAGATTTACCATTTTGGAAGAGAGAGCTTCTGTTGTGACTTCTTTCTTCCTACTTTCTTTCCCTCCCACCATCCTCGACATCTACACAGTATTTGATGATTTCTAGGTTTCCTTTTGTGTTATTATTTTGACAATCCAGACAGTAACATCAATTTTTTGTTCAGTGAGGGGAAAAAAAAAAAGTCATTTTCAGGTAGAATAATTAAAGTAAGCAATTCCTGGAAATTTTACTGTTCATCAAAAATTGTGATGGCAAAGGCAGCCAGGAACAACAGGGAAAGGGGCAGAAGAGAGCTGAATTTATATCTTGAAAACTATGAAGAATTGACAGCTGTAGAGAATGAAACTGGTTGAGCTTTTCCATTCTGCTCTACTGGTACATCTCATGCAGTGTGACTCATGTGATTCAGGCTACATACTCAATCTGTCTTGGCAGAAATCAGGTTATTTAGAATCATATATTGTGCATGTTATGAGTGAGAATAAGAGGGGGAGGGAAAAAGACTGTGGGTGTATATGCATAGTAAATACAACTTTATCTTCCCATCATTTTTGCAGCGTTAGTAAATCCTGGTCATACAATTCAAATTAGTTTTATGCACTCGCACAGCCAGTTACGAGTCATCTATGGTAATGGCAAGGGCTGTGGTTGTGTACTATTCTACCTGGTGATACTGTACACATTGCTGGCAGCAGCCACTGGCCCCTATCTAGGCAAATAATGTAACCATATTGCCTATACTTCTGTCTGATTGCCTTTCAACACCGGAAAGAATAACTCTGAAACACTGTCTAACCTCATGTGTGATATGTGACACAGAGTACCCTAAAAAGCAACAATATCTGGACTGCTATTCCCCACAAAGAGACAAAAATAGGTGTTCTTCCTAATGTCCTGAGAGACAAAGAGCACACTGTGCTCTTTTATTTTCTCAAAATTCTCCATACACAACCTTGCTTTCTTCCCTTTAATTCTGAATCCATTATTATCTGTAAGATTTGACAGGCAAATGCAATTTAGTGTCTGGTTTGTTTATGAAGCGTTAATCCAGAGTCCTTAAACTGCTGAAGCTGGTTATTTGTGTTGGGTGCTTAGCCTCTGAAGTCATAAAATATTTTTTCTGCTTCCAGACATTGACTTGAAAGTTGTAGAAATAAAATGAATGCCAAATAATGAATTCATCTGCCGAATTAATAATATATTTTGTCATGACATTATTAATCATTTATAAATACCAAGAAGATTTTTAATGTGATCATTCTGGAAGGCACTCATGTATGTGAATACAGATATATGACACCAGCACTGGCTGGTGCACATTTTCAACAATGGTTTGTTTTAGGTTTTTTTTGTTTCCCACGGGAACAAGGTAGTGTATTTTTGATTTATTTAGGTGAGCAAAATTGCCACTAAACCCTGCTGAGACTTTGTAGATATGCTTCTGTACACGAAAGATGTGCTTATTCTTATATAATCATATCTTTCCATCATAGTGTCTTATCTAATAGCCAGGACCATCTCTCTTTCAAATATAAAATGCCCAAAGTTCTGTTGATGATAAAAAGATGAGATATTTAGATATATACAGTTATTTACTGTATGTGGTTGCCATAATGCATCAATAATACAATTTATCTGTTTTTTTTCTGTTGCAAAAAAAAGTGTAAAACCAAAACCAATGAAAAAACATGTGTTTTTACATTCTTTGAGATCAGTCTGTCAGAATTCTATTAGCAATTACGATTTTTCAAAGGTTTGTCATCTCCCGAACCAGCTGAAAACAGAAGACCATTTTAATTCTTTTCCTGCATTGTATGCATACTGTAGATAAGAGATACAAAGATGATCAGGGGGCTGGAGCACCTCTCCTATGATGACAGGCTGAGAGAGTTGGGTTGTTCAGCCCGGAGAAGAGAAGGCTCCAGGGAGACCTTAAAGCAGCCTTCCAGTATCTAAATGGGACCTACAAGAAGACTGGGAAGGGGCTTTTTATAAGAGCAAGTAGTAATGGGAGAAGGTAATGGCTTTAATCTAAGAAAGAGTAGGTTTAGATATAAGGAACAAATTCTTTACTGTGAAGGTGATGAGACACTGACACAGGGATGACCCACCCCTGGCAGTGTTCAAGAACAGGTTGGATGGGCTGGATGGGGCTTTAACCAGCCTGGAAGGGGTCCCTGCCCACAGCAGGCAATTGTAACTAGGTGATCTTTAAGGTCCCTTCCAACCCAAACCATTCTATGATTTTACGTTTCTATGAACACATACAAAAGACTATAATATGTAGCAGAAGTTGTACTGAAAATACAAGCCTATATATACTTTCATTTATAGTTTCAGTCTTTGTTGTACAGTGCATGTTTTAAGATTCTGGAAATCAGTATTTGGAATTTGCTAGGAGATATAGAATTCTGTGCCAAACCTTCTATTTTCTGGGGTATTAGAAGGCCATAATATCTACTTTTCTATTAAGAAATTTTCTTAGAAATTTCAATACATTTCATTTCCAAATCATGGACTTCTAATATTTAAGCTAAAGAAGTCACCTTTCACTGTCTCTGAAATAAAATAAACCTGCTCTTAATCTACTTACTTAGTTTGGTCAGCTATGGGTCTCATGGAAAGGCTGCTGAGCAGTTAGTTAGTCGTATGCACAAATATGAGATCAGTTCTTAACGCTTCTGTACTCCCTCTTGGGTAGCACATCTACACATCTACAGAGTTGAAGACAGTAATGTGATAAACAGATTTCAGGAGCAGGTATACTCATGAGTTCAAACGCAGTTTTGAGCCAAAGCTGAAAACTTGGGAAGATGATGTGTACGAAAATGTTCACAGAAGAAAACATACTGAAATTAAACCTATGATTGCATTATTTACTTCTGCTTTTCAATAAACATTTATTTTCTGTCTTGCTTAAGTAAATACATGAGTTTGCTCATTTCCTTATTACAGGCATGGTTGCTGTTCAATATGCTTCCTATAACTGATATATGTTTTCAAATATATTCATAAAAAACCTTACTACTCTTAGATCCAGTCTATGAAGAGAACATATTCATACTAAGCAGGTGTGCTCATACTAAACAGGTGTACAGCACTAGTGATCAGGAAGGAACACCTATGAATATTTATCTGTTACTAGGCACAACATTTGTGTCAGACCAGTAGACGATGCTAACTAACTAAAAATAGAAAAACAATTACTTTATTTCTTTTATTGTTGCAATTGTCAATATAGGAGCTGAAGCATTAAAGGTGTAGTGGGAGATCTAGTCAACACTGGGAAAACCACTTGCTCTTTAGAAGTTTATTCAAAAGTAAAAAGTACACACATTGCCTAGTCTTCCTTCTCATTAATCATTTATTGTGGAAAGAAAGCTTTGTAAGCAACTAAAATTGAATCGGTAATAAAAAAAAATCATGTTCTACAGAATGCACAAAAGCTATTATAAAGAGATACTCACAAAACATAGATTAGTGATAAAGGCTTCACTTCATCACCTGGCAACCTTAACCATAACTATCACCATTGCAAGCAAGGGAAGATAAAAGTTTTGTGATTCTGGGACTAATACATTTAAATTAATTATACAATTTAAGCTGCTATTTACATGAATAAAATTATAACTGATGAGATGAAACCTGCTGAAATGAAACCAAACTCTCAGCTAGATTGCTCTTTCCAGGTGTCAGGTTTTGGAGTTTCAGTGCTTAAAAAAATGAAATCTCTTCCCTTTTTTATTGAAAACAGGTCTAGGAAGAAGGCAAATAATCAGTTGACTGCATTGCTTTTCAGCCTGGGATAAAGGAAAGGTAGATACTAAGATTTTCAGATATTCTGAACGAATACAAAAAGGAAATTTTTCTTGTATAGCAACCTAGATAGCAAGTATCTAGCTGGTAACTAATGTACTTCAAAACAGATAAGTGGAAAAAAAATGGGAAGCAAACAAAACTCTCTCTGTAGTCAGCCTCAAAGATTTTTCATCACCTTCATAGCCTAGTGTGAAATCTATTTTTGTATGATCAGATGTGAAACTTTTCTGTGTCCGAAATACTAGTTTAATCCTTATGACAGAGACCACTGATCAGAAGAAAACTAAGCAAAAGAAACATAAATTTACGTGTTTATTTTGCTTTTCTGTTTAAATGATGGTAATCATTGTAATAATCATAGATCCTGCAGCCATGGCTACACAGGATCAGATGACAGCATCTTTAATGTGTACCTTTTGGTTTCCTAATGTAGAGAGCAGTCCTCACTGTTGCAGTTTTTTTCCCTAGTCTGCACTGTCGGTGATCAGGAAACGTGTTTGTGCTGAGGACTGATAAGGTTTTATTTGAAGGGAAGCAGCACCATCTATTGCAACCTGATAGCTTAGCTCTAGATGATATAAAGAGCAGAGCTGGCCTGAGCCCAGTTTTAAGCTCTTACTTGCACTTTCAGAATTTTTTCTCAGACCTGCTTCAAATGAGGTTAGGATCTCAGTTTTTATATGATACAGGAAGAGGGGGTTGTGGCATGTGTGCATGTGTCTAGTAAAAAAGTGCATCTAAGAGACATACTTGTTTACAAACAAAGATAAAATAACAGCATAAACTTAGTCTTGACTACTACTTTTGAATGACTTGGATGAAATTTTAATTTTTGAAGTGGGAAGATAGTCAAAAGTTTAGAGTATGTTTTACTCAGGTGATATTCTCTCAAAATTTACTTAGAAGCAGCATTAATGTAGGTGTACAGTACCGTATGTTCTAATAATGGCAGTGCTATTGTCATCCATCTATACCTCTGGTTCTTCTCTTTTTCCAGACTGTCTACAAAGCCTGGCTCTGTTCCCAGTATTTTGAAGTCACACAGTTTCACTGCAGCAACAGAATTCCTTGCAAGCAATACTGTTTGGAGGTTCAGACGAGGTGTCCCTTTATATTACCAGACAATGATGATGTCATCTATGGAGGACTATCAAGTTTCATCTGTACAGGTATAGTATAGAAAGCTAATTTCACTTGTTTTCATAAGTCTATATGTATAGGAGAGTGTGGATAATGTTTCTTCCATTAGAACTATGAGAACCTGAAGGTATTCCCTGTCACAAATACAGGTGAGCACACCTCACCTATCAGAGGTGGTAGGATTTGAGTCCAGATTTAGTAATGCACATTTATGCTACAGCTTGCCATAGTCATTAACTTTACAAAACAAAATTACTAGAATAAATTGGCTCTGGTGTGGGGTTTTTTATGCTTAATAATTTGGTGGAAGAGTTTTATTGCTCCGTATCATGCAGTGCTCAGAGAAGAGTAGCTCTGTGTCATGCAATACTCAGAAAAAAGGAAAAAGGCAAGTCCAGTTTTTAGTATATTCATCTTTGTTCACCTGCCTTCTTAAGTTAAATAAACAAAGATTCTGAGGTGTAGCAATCAAAACTATGCAGCACTTTGAAAGTAAATGTCTAAAGAAAAGGTCTGTCACTAGCAAAGAATTTTAAGAATTAGTTCTTCACCTGTAAAAAGCTGATCTTTTGGTCTCTTCTTGAGTCTTTTTATATTCTGTGAGTAATTTTTAAAGGTATTGCTAATATAGGTCTACGCATTTATAAAATGGTTTGGTTCATTTAACATTCCATTCTGCTCAAACACTATCTCAGAATGATCCAACCAGGGAGGACATAGTAGGCAAGAAGTAGCTTTAGTACATCTCAGGTGCCTCACACACTTTTTTCAGGACTGGCTGAGAGACATCCTCACAAAACTTCAGCTTATATCTATGCTATCTGCAGCTTTCCAGTGTCTAGAGTATTTCCTGAGAATCTTGATGATATTCAGGCAACTTATTCCCACTGAATCAGTAAAAAGGCACTTCAACACTTAGATCTTTTGACATCCTGATCCAAATATCTGAAATTAGACATCTTCAACATTAAATTAGGGCTGCACTGTAAACCTTGATACAAAATCAGTTGCCCATGGTAAGCTACTTAAAAGCAGAGTAAAATATATAACCCCATAAATGTTTGTGGTAACTCACTTCACCTTATAACTGTGTTTGGATTTAGGGAGGTTCTGGTAGTCTATTGCACACAACTGAGCAATATTCATCCATGTGCAAAAGACAATATAATGAATTGTATCCTGAGTTACAATTTGGTAGTCATCAATAACGTAATGTACTTAACACTTCAGTGCATTTCATAAATATGCCTTCCAATGTGCCTACATCATAAGCAAATGAGTGATATTTTCCAGTTTAAAATAGGACAGTAAAAGCAGAAGTGAGAAGATTAGGACATTTTTATTTACAACATGTATACAATATATATGCGTGTCCATGCATGTATGTACATGTGTGTATTCATATACATACACAGTGGCAAAGAATAAACAAACAATAAACAAAATCATATTTTTAATTATTTCAGAAAATCTCTTAGGAAATACATATCCACATCTTCATTTTTTCTATTTTATCTCCAAGTCCAAATTCATTCCTAAGACACATAAAATAGATGACCTTGCAAGGATTACTTAGTTAATATCTCAGTTTGGGATGAAAAGCAGATTTTGCAAAGGGTTAAACTCATTTTACTCCAGGTATTAGTAGCATAAACTGTGATTAAGTTCTCAGTAGGGTCACTGAAGATCTGATGTAGTCGGTAGAGCTGTTTAATTCAGTCTAAGTAGGCATCTGCACCTGGCGAGCTGACTAGCTCTCTATGCTCTGCTAACAGTGCTGGCTGCTCTCTTGTTTGCTGTAGCTGCTATTAGTCACCAAAGTCTTATTGCAGACACTTAAAATCAGGGAAACCTCAATCTCATCTAAGCAGTCCACTAATATTTGATTGAACTTTTTGTTCTCTCAAGTCAAGACCCTCAGCATCAAGAGAGCAGAGCTTGTATTCATGGACCCATAGGAGTCAGCATTCTGACGCTAGGCAGTTGTGGGCAAGAGATGATGCTGAGAAGTACAAGGCTGCAATTCAAACTTTGTCCAGAATAAAGGCCCATGGTCAACCTCTGCAGCTCTGTATAAGGGGACTTCCTTCTGCTAAACAGGGTATTAGACTAATAGCTGCTGTGGGACTAAAGAATTAAATTTCTCTGCAGCTTAGTGAAAACAGTACAGTGAGTTCAACAGCAGAAAAAATACTCTACCTCAACATGGCTTGTGGCTTGACAGTTAACTTGAATTCCTTTTGCAGAAAAGCAACTGAAAGCAGGTCACCCTTGTCTTGAGGAACCTCTTCTGCTGCTCTCTCTGTGAGCTCGTGTTTGGCAGACATGTTCTGGGATTTCTGCTCTTCCTGTCATTTGTGAAATTCATTGGCAAAACCCAGAAGAGTCAGATCAAAGATATATCTATTTGATATTTAAGTCTTACAGCTGGTTGTCTGCTGTCTCTAATTGATCTAACTTCACTGTGAAGCTGGTCACCATTGAGCTCTGCTACAGGAAACAAAGCAGGAGCAAACTTTATGTTCAGGTATTCCTCATGAACAGCATTTTGCCACAGCCTGTCACTCATTGAAATTACTCTTGAATATCCCTGCTGCTCCTGACTCTGATGGTATCCCATGGAGAGAAAAGCTACTGGTCATTTTTTGAAATTTTCACTTACATTTTCAGAGAAGCCCAGCAGGAACTGAATGGGGTTATATTGGTGCGATATTCTTTTCCTCAATGAAACTAATGAAAGACTATCTAGCTAGCTAAGAAAAACTATTAATTAGAAAATAGTTTCTGGAGAAAATAAAGGAACCCCCCTAAACAGGATGACTTATCTGAGAAACATCAAGAATTTGTGGATTCTGATTTTCTTTAATAATGTTTCAGAAGCACCAATTTTATAATAAGGGCTTTCCTTCCTCTTCTCCATGGTAACAGAATATTTCCTCTAAGGTCCGGTAGAGACTGAGGCTAATGGAAAGACGGAAGATCGACTTCTATAAAACATTTCAATATACTGTGGAAGGCAAGTAATAGGAAAAAGGGTACTGGTGATAACTGGTTTTATTTGATGTTGACTACAGCACAGAGTGCAGGATGTGTGAACGTTACATGTCATTTTTCAGTTGCAGCTGAGTAAGAGACTGGTGTGGCTCCATGTCACTGGTGGCACTAGGAGCTGCAGTACCAAGCCACTGCCTCCCCTTGCTAGCCCTCTTCCACCACAGCAGTAGGCAGGCAGAGAACCCACAGACTTGGGTTTTTTGCTTTCAGAACAGAATTTTCTCAAGGTTGGATGCTGTAAAAACAAAGCAAAACAAAAAAGTACTGGAGGTTGTGAAAAGGAATAAGAACAAAAAGAAATAATAACAAGGACCATTCTAAGAAGGCTCACATGATGAAAACACAGCATGGGACTGTCTAATTTTAGCCAAGAAATTTTTCAGTTGTTTTCTTTGGCAACATTAAAAAAAGTAGTTTATACCATGGATTAATAAAGACTTCTTGGAAATTCTTGAGGACTGATATAAGAAGACATTCTAGCCTGAGAATATCTTACTTGATTACCTGCAACAAAAGTAGATAGTGGGAAAAGGAGAGGGAATGCAACACTAGTTGTGGATCACTGGAACTTATCTTGTGTAGAAATGCATGTCAGGATGTGGGTCAACTGCATCACAAAAGAAAGTACTTGGGAGATTAATCAAAACAATCAGAGTCACAGTTTGGTTCTGATTACAGAAACATGCGGTTAGCTAGAAAGAATTTGTGTTCCACTCTCCCCACTTTCTTCTAGGAATAGAAGAAAAATGTTGGTCTTTCCATCAGACAGTGTTCTGGAACATACTGTTTTTCATACTCATTAAAATTGAATGGTTGCTTTCAGTTTAGACCTTTGGAGTTTATATCCGTATGAGTTAAGTTTCATCTAATGTTTCTTTCTGCAGCTCAGATGTCTAGAATTGCCCATACAAAGCAGAATCTTATTTAAGAGAGATAATAATAGTGTTCAGACATACATACCCACATGTCAGATTGCAATGAATGAGTCCCACGCAAAGTTCTAGGTCAAAGCTTTTAATTGTGATTCCTATGAAAATAGCATCATAGCAGATAGATTGTTTTCTTTCGTAGATGTAGTCATCTTTTCCTCTTTTCTCCCAGTGTGAATAGAACAAGTGGAAGATTTTGTTCACATTGAGTGTGAAAAGAGAGATGAAAGATGTATGACTCTTTGTACAAAGCACTGGAAAGAGACTGGTAATAATTCACAACTCCTGCTTTTCGCTTGCCTTCCAAAGTAATGTGGTCCAGCAGCTGGCTTGGCGACTGGTCCAGCCCATGAACTGTTTCTGTTTGGCTTGCTGCCATCTCCCAGTGGAAACAGAGACCGGTAACAGGAGGCATGAACGTTTTCTTCACAACCAATCCATTTAGGCCTGCAGTTTGCTTAACCTAAAAAACATGAGAGCTCAGTTTCCACCAAATGAGCAGCAGAATACACAAAGAGATGACCTCTCCCCGCACATGGCCCTTCCAGGATATGACATCAACACCAATACTGCAATTGCATCCACATTAGTGATCTAGTTCAGGAGTGTACTTTTAAAGCAAATCTCTTGTTCATACTTCTTGTTGTTTAACTTGCACTGGGGAGAGGTCTTGGAGGATTTGAACTGGGTTCCTTTGGATTAAACAACCAGGAGACGTGCTACTGGAACATACCTAGCATGTCCCAAATGCTAATGCACATTTTGACTTACAGAATTAGACTAGAGCTAGAGTGAGTTAAAAACCCTTAAAATGCCTTTAGAGTTGACACAAGATACTCAGCACCAGCTGTTTCATCCTACATATCTTCTCTTGCCCCAGACTACTTGTTAATACGGACATAGCCTATTCTGGTTTCTGGGAGAATAATCCCAAAACTGCTGTCCATGTGCCAAGTCTGGACTACTTCGGAATGCTGAACTAGAGCTTGCTGTGTTGCTAAGGTCCTTCTTTGTATTGACCAAGATTTATGGCCTCTTGTGCCTTC